AGTTACCACCTGGTTACAGACTGGTTACAAACGACTAGTTACCACCTGGTTACAGACTGGTTACAAACGACTAGTTACCACCTGGTTACAGTTTGGTTAATAACTAGTTACTGGCTAATAAATCTCTGGTTATTGACTGGTTAAATCCATGTGAATAACTAGTTAGTAACTAGTTACTGGCTAATAAATCCCTGGCTACTGACTGGTTAAGTCCAGGTCAGTAACTAGTTACTAACTAGTTACTAACTAGTTAGTAAGTAATGACTAACTAGTTAGTAACTAGTTACTAACTAATTGCTAACTAGTTAGTAATTAGTTACTGGCTAATACATCCCTTGTTCCTGACTGATTAAATCCGGGTCAGTAACTAGTTAGTTAGTAACTAGTTAGTTAGTAACTAGTTAGCCCGGTGGTGGTGCTGGCTCCACTCACCGATCCGGAGGAACAGCACCACGCTGAACATGGACAGCAGGGTGGGGACCACCACGCCGAAGAACACCGACAGCTTCTTGGGCTGCTGCTGCCGCTGGGAGGGCGGCCGGCGCCGGGGGCTGTCCGGCAGATGCTCGGGGGTCTGGCTGGGAGCGGGGGCGCGCGCCTCGGACTCATTGACGCTCGCGAGGAGCGGGTAGTTGAGGAGGGGGGTCCGCTCCGTCATGGTGAAGCCAACAAACGGCGCTTTGGGTGGAGTGAAGGTGGAGGAGCAGCTCTGCCGGATCCTGGGAGTGAAGCGTCCTGATTGTCAGACCGACTCCAGCTAACTTCCGGCAGGCGGAGCCGCCATGATGACCGACTGCACGCGCCTGGCCATGGTGGCTCTCTGTTATTCCTCTGATTATTTGGAATAAATGTCATGTGACACAGGATCGTCAATTTACGTCTCTATCGACGGCTTCCGGTGGGCTCTTTCACAATAAAAGCATCTAAAGTTTACTGACTGTCCTCACGCACACACCCACAGACCCAACCTTACTAACAAGAAACTGCCTTTAATCTGCTATAATTATCTGCTAATATCTGTCATTATTTATCCTGTATTATAACCCCAGTA